GCATCAGTCTTTACTTATTTCTCGTGTGATCTTAAGGAAAGGATTTCGATAATCTGTTCAGTCCTTTCCATGTATTTGTTGCCTGGTCTAAATGCTTTATAGAGTTTAATGTAATCTACAAATAATAGATAATTAATAGTAACTATGCAAAACATAGTAACAATAATTATACACTGATAAAATAGAAGGGCTAATATCTCTAATATCCCTCACTTCCTAGTAATGTATTTTTTAAAATTACCCATTTCCAAGAAGTTGATTAGAAAACAGCGATAAACTTCCAGACCTCAGGCTGAAGTTACGCAGATGCTTTGTTTCTGCCAGTAGCTAAGAGATCAAAAGGATATAAACAGAAAAAAAAAAAAAAAAAAAAAAAAAACAACCCAAAACCTGAAAACCTGACACAGGAAAGGAAGGGATCCAGACACACAGACTGGCATTAGGAGAGACCTCTTTGGAGAAAGCCCAAGAAGGTAAGGATTTTCTGAGATCTGGAGTACAGCATCTCTTGGGGAAAGGCGAGAATATGCCTAAGAGATTTTGTTGACTAAGGTCAGTTTTCTCATACATTCTTTGCCTGCTAATAAGTCAAGCCATGCTTTATGGAAACTGCCTGAGCGCTGCTGACATTGTCTCCACTCCTGAACTCTTACCTGTGCTCATGGGGGATCATTGAATTCCAGGCTTGACACTGGATACCACTTTTGGTTACAGATATTGTTCCTTTGTAGTCTGCTCCTTTTCCGATTATACAATTCCTGACATAGTCTATTGAAAGAAAAGAGAAGAAAATTAAGGGTTTGCTTAATGTATTTAAAATTAGAGCTCATCATCATTTTTCACATAAAAATAATGTATTTCTGATAGCCTATAAATACTTAATTACTCAAAATATTGTTTAATTGTCCACATACATTCTTGTATTTTTTTTTCAAAATATTGACTGCTAACTTCCCAAAGAAAGCTACTGAAAATATTTCCAAAGTGTCTGATTGACCAAAAGTTTATGTCTGATGATTTAAGTCCCTCACTAATTAATGATGTAAATAAAAGAAATACTAAGTCAATAACAGTAACTTATACAACTGAACTTTTAAGCAGTAAACTGAAGTAGCAGTTCAGACTAGTATCTATGATGGTAGGAAAATATGTAGGTTGGAAAACTGACCAAGAGCAAGTATGTAGATGAACTTGCATGACAGCAAACCCATGATATTTGTAAATAAAACTGTAGGATGCAGCTTTCAAAATGCGTAAAACCATCCCATGCCCAGAATAGTCTTACAGCCAAAAAGTCACTGACTGACCTCAGCTTTTTTTTCCCCTCCATAGCTGGAAAAACAAAATCAGTAAATAAATCAGTTACCCTTCTTTTCATACAGATCAAACGCATGGTCTTGCTTCTTTCTCACACCATTTGTCAAGCTGTTGAAGGATAACCAATGGCACCGTTTTGTAACTCTGTCATAAGCAAAGGCCCTGCAAAGAAAATCTGGATGAGAAAAAAATCTCTGTGTGGTTTATAATAATGAAACATGGTCTGCCAAGGAGCATGCAATGACATCAGATTTATTTTTACTGGGAAAGTCAGAGAAACAGCCCAAATTACTATTTAAACCCACAACTGTGCTGACAAGAACAAAGAAACAAAGAAATTAAATTGATGTGGCCATTACATTAAATACCAGCTTGGTTGTTCACACTAATCTAAAAGTTCCCTTGTCATTAAAGATCTTTATTTTAAAAGTGAGATAAATGTGACTGAGACAGCATTTGCGTCCCCAGTTGTGCTGCTTTCTGGGGAAAAAAAAAAAAAGGAAGACTCTAAAACATCTTCTTTGCTGTGCTTACAATATACCTCTGAAACAGTTAAGTATCCCACACTGATGGCTTGCGGAAAATTCAAGCACAAGGAGTCTGTTTCTTGCCTAGAACAACAGAGCTGTTTAAAAACAAGATTATTTTTATTTTTATGAATAATCTAAACTGTGATAGTGTACCTACAGCTTGTCCTTGCTTGGCTTTTGTTTACTTTTTTCTCTTATTTTTAACTGCTTTCAAGGATAGAGTACAATGTGTTCTGAAATGAGTGGATTTGGGGTGGGGGGAGAAAGCCAAATAGAAATCGTAAGAGTAAAAACTTTTTCTTTCAATATTTTAAATGAAATGTGCTGATCATTTTCTGCTAACATCATTTTGAAAGGAAATCCCTTAAATGTAGGTAAAATATTTTAAAGGATTGTATAAATACAGTTGACTGCCTGGACAGGGGCAACAGTTATTCCAGCAAGAAAAACAGACAAACAAAAACCAACAACAAAACACTGAAAAATTCTTTTTTCCCCTTAATTTCTCATTAGAACCAAATAACAAATCACTGACATGATACTATTGTCTCCAGCCCACCACAAAGTCTACATTTCTCTCAGTCATCCCAAACCTTCTGAGATATTTCATTCTGACCTGAGAAGGCATTTTAACACTACTTGATAATATCCAAAAGACACACAAGTTTCCTGTACTTAAGCTGTAGTGTGGCTATGCCATATTACTGAGCACTATGTCCCCCAACACAAAACTCACTGATCTTCATTTAATTCCCCTCTTGCCATACAAGTTTTTCTGTGTGAGATCTTGCTGGCTTCAGTTAAAAATATTACAAGATCCTATCCAAACTCCCCACTCTTCTCTCTTTCAAACATCCTCTTCATTATCGTTTCCATCACCAAACAGATTTTTCATCCAACTGCTCTCTCTACTCTGTTGACTCCAAATGTTTCCAACCTGCTAACCTTCATCCTTCTGCCCTTGTTCAGCCTTCTGTTCTCTCCTGGCGAGTTCTCAAATATGAACGTATCCAAGTGCCTCTAACTCCATCTTCACAAAAATATCCTTGACCTTTCCTGCCTTTCCAATTACATTCTCCTTTCCCCTCCTCCCTCCTAAAGTGGGAATGCAGAACGCACTGTTTACAAACATTTCTTTCAGTTTTTGCCTTTCAGTTGCCTTTTGGTTTCTTTCCAGTTTGTCTTCAGCCACTTCTGCACATAAAAGTTTCTAACAATCTTTTCTTGGACTCAAATCTGGAGGGTTTTTACACTTCCAAAGTCAACATATTTAAGCAAATTCTTGGACTTTCTTCTACTGATCCTGCTGATGACAACAATTTTTGTTGTTGGTATTTCTACTGAGATAGCCGCTAGATTTTCTGATACTGGAATCCTGTGGTCTATACTGGAATCCCTTTCTGTGTAAATACAAAGACATTCCAGAAATTAAGCAGAAATTAAGGGTAAGACAGGCACAGCTTTGTAGGTAAGGAAGAGACAGGTCTGCAAGTCATGTGCATAGCCAATAAAATTGTAATTATATTATCTTTTTCTTGACCATAAGAAATGTAGTGGGAAAGCTGCAAGGATGACAGCAGGAAAAGAGTGGGAATAATGGACTGCAAATGGTGGTGAAACAAAGGAATAAGAACAGCTTAGCAGTGGGTTAATAAAGCTAATAAGGAAGGCAGAAAATGATGCACCGAGAGTTATGAAGTCAAAAAGACAAGGTAAGTGAGTCTAAGGGATACTTTGATGGGGGATTTTAGGAATAACTTTATGAAGAAGAAACAAATCTAGATAAGGATCCTGCAACTCAGTTGGAAATGATCAAGATCTGCAAAAGCATGATAGCAAGGAAAAAGAGGAAAGGTCCATTCTGAGATGTGGCATATATTATCTCCAACAAAAAGGTGTCAGAGTTAAAAAACGCAAGGATCAATAATTGTCAAATACTAACAATTTACATGCAAGTAATCCAGAAACTTATCATAAATAAATCAAAATTTGTCTTCATTTTTTTTCCCCCAGGAAATAACGGATGGCTGATCATTTATAGGTCTGTAGTGCCTGCAGTGTGATACTTTACCACTTTCTGGAAGAAAAGAAACCCAACTTTCTTCCTGCTTATGTACCTCACAGGGCACAGAGCCACAGGTTGTTGCTACCAGTGCTATTGTCACAATTATTTTACAAAGTATTTCTATTTTGTTTGATCTCAAACAAGCTGAGTTTGCATCCAGAAAATAAAACAACAGTACTGTGACTGAAGTGATGGAGAACTGCTGCATGGATATGGAGCACCAGAATCAAGGCATGAAAATGTCAATAAACAAAGGAAAATCCATGTCTTGCATTTCAAGTATTTAAAATGCCATTTTGTGTTAATTGTCTTCTTATTTTAGAATACTCCCACAGCAACCAGTAAACTAATTTGTTTTAATTTAAATTGGCAACAAATTTCACCTTGTAGTAACCATATGTTGGTATGAAGTTAAAGACTGGGGATCGTAGGAATAAAAGGGAAACATTAGTAATCACTGATTCCTTTAAAAGGGAACACATGTCAAATATGTGTTTACAGTAGCATCGAAGAACTATGCACACTACAACAGGACTCATCTGGGGCCAAATGGGAAACCACAAGAATGTTCCCAGATACAGAAAATCCATCTTGCTGTGCTGCACAGTGATAGCACAGGCAAGAGCTCACCACCTACACCTCTGCTGCTAGCCTTCCTTGCTAAAAAAGTGAGGGAAAAATTGGAAATTCAGAGCACGAGTAGTCAGATTTGCAATTCTTTTTCATCTTCAGTGCAAATAGGTACATGACTGATTGCAATTGTGTTATCTGTGAGTAGGATTCTTCCAAGCTGTGTTCTCAAAGTCCCTCATGGCTCTTCTGTGTTGCTTTATTGCCAGATTACGGCAGAGAGAATTTGCCCCCTGAATAAATCCATCAGACACTGTCCCCCCCCAAAAAAAAAAAAAAAAAAAAAAATCACAAATCAGGGGAGATTCTAGATTATTATTCATGTAAAATATAATCTATAAATATATTAGCCTACTTTTTATTTTCATATCACAAAACATACCAGCCAGAGCAGCTACAACTAGATTGAGACAATTTTCCTAAGCAGATGTTGGAATACAGAATTGTTTGCTTGGCATCATTCAGAATTTTTTTTATACTGTGAAACCTAATTTTATAACACTGCTCGCTGCTGACCATCAGAACTCAAGGATCTCTTGAATACAACCTGATCCACTTGGCAATGATATCCTTGGAAGCTCTGCCAATAGGAAAAGGAGTGTCTTGAACCATGTGAAAAATATTAGTGCCTGGAAAATATTTTCTAACAGAAATAAGTAAGATCTGTTCATTGTTTACATATATAAATAGTCAAAGTACAAAACAATACAAACTATGTCTTGCAACACTGGAATTAGAGGCTTAAAGACGGATTACATTAAAGACGAGGACCTTTTCTGCCAAAGAAGAGCTTTTGTTATCACATTTGGTCTAGCTTTCATTTGGAGTGATTGTGAAAACTTTTATGTTTCAAGATCACGCTCACATTAGCTCAGTACTCACCAGTACAGAAGCCATCCATTCTCTCCAAGATTCTCCTGCATTCATGTCCTTTCATTTATTGCTAATAGTCTAGACTAAAAGAGGCCAGGGGGATAATTTAAGTCTAATACATGGGAAAAATAATAGTGATTTGTTCCAAAAAATAGTAGAGAATATGTAGAAGGCAGACAAGCAATCAGCTGCATGATGTGTTTCTAAGAGACAGCAGATGCTGAAGAATAGCTATCCTATACTTGTAATGATTGTGCAGCCCAGAAGGTTTGATTCCATTGTATCAGATTCGTAGCACTTGCCAGTGAACTTCAGCAGTGCATGTATCTGTGCTCCATGTGTGAGGTTCCCATTGATTTCAGTGGGAGTAATGTGCAAAGAATGAAGACAGAATATGGTCTGAAGTGGTGCTGAAATACTGCAGCTGTGATGTGTGACAATAACCGTTTTATAAGAGACATAAAAATCTCAGAAATGTTCACCGAACACTACAGTGCTGCACAAGTCATCCGTATCTTAATAGGAGTACGTTTTTTTCAGCTATGTTACGGAAAAGATTACAGATTGGACAAGCTACGAAGACAGAACAGCTCAGATAAAGCTTCAGAAAAGACTAACAGTCTCTAGACAGGTAGAGCAAGATCATGGAAAGCAAAAAGCACAATCTAGATTGTCTTCAGTATAAGCTACCACTGATGACAATTATAGACAGACCTTTGGTCAAAGGGTGCTATATAGGTTCCATTAAGAAAAAAAACCAATAATATAATAGAGCTACATAACTTACTTGCAAGTGAATGAAAGGCCTTTGTTCCTGCTGCATCTCTTGGCACATTGCTCAGTGGTATTTAACAGCTTGGTTTTTACTTCCAGTGTTTTGTTTACTTTAATGAGCATCAACTCTCCTGTTTTTTTGAAGTCATGAAGAGCATTTCTCCTTTTTCCTTTACCCTCTAAGAAAGAAGCAAAGAAGGGAAAAAAAAGTAAATACCAATGTAAAGAAGAGTGCTGAGATTAAAGCTGGCATTAGATATGAATACTATTTATTAGGAACTATAGGAACACTGGTACCTAAAGCATAGAGAAATTCACAAAAATAAGGCACAAGCAGATACCTGAGAAGAACTGATTATTTTTGATGGTGATCTCCACTCTTAAAAACAAGTATGGTAGAAATTATAGCAAAATTAATTTCAAATAAAGACTTGCATAATGCTAGAAAAGGGTAAGAGGAACATTTTTCACCTGTTGTAATTTTTTTCAGAACCCCCAAAATATGCCTGATAATAATAACCTGAGATCAATATTTCCATGAAAAACTCAAGTGAAAAAGATGAACAAAGGAATTTTTTGGATGGACAGAGAGTAGTTACTCTCAGAAGGAAAAGGATTTAAATATTATGGAGAAACATGATCTGAATGCGAGAAATTGTTCTTAAACCAACAAACTTTTCATCACAAATTCTAAAAAGAAGTGGAGCCTGGAAGTGACATGAAGTAATCGTTTGTACTCCCTCAGCTCCAGGGAAGACTCAGTGCGAGTGTTGTGTCCAGTTCAGGCATGACTGAATTAGATGTCTTTGCCTACAGAAAACAAGATGAGGGGTGGCAGAGGCCATAGCATAGGAATAGTCTGCACTTTTCCAAAGATTTCTGCCATAAAGAATGCACTGATATGTTTTCCATGTCTCTGTTCAAAGGCCCAGCGGACGGGGTATACAATGGAGCAGGGAAGATTGGCTAGAGGTGTTTGGATGAAGTGCAAGAGGAAAAGTCTCTGATTTTTGCAAGAAAAAGCCACAATTTTCCCAATCCATATGTATATTATTTTTTTTCCATAGAAACCAATCTGCCAGTGTAGGCTGCTCCATCGTCAGTGAAGGCAGATGAGTACCTCTGGAGAGTGATTCTCGCTGTTCTGACAGATGAGTAACATAGGGAGGACAAATTGCCCTTTGGATCTATTTCGTCTATTTCACTCAATGATCCCAGATGATCTTTTTGGATTAGATGGCTAATGCAGGTAAGGTTAAGTGAATGAATCCCTCCTTAATTTTCAAAGTGAGTAATAGTATTTTTCATAACTTCCTTCCATATAACTGTTTTCACTGCTGTCCTTTCATTTTTCTCTACGGAATCTGAAACAATGATAGAACATGAATGCTTAGCACCAATTTATTAAATTTTGCCAGAGTCTTTCAAATATATGAAACGTCAGCCTAGAGCTCGGTTATCCTGAATAGATGATTCCTCATGCAAGTGCAGAGTGCACTTAAGCCAGTAAATTTTTGCTTGGCACGTTCTATGCAGAAGCTCAGAATAACTCTGTAAACTGGAATAGCTGAGGTGCTGAAGGAGTTACTGCCAGCTCCGCATATTGTAAAGCCAAAGAGGGCTTAAGGGTGTTCCCTTTGCAGAACTTCCATCCTGATCATTAAGTGTGATCACATTTTCACTGGATTCAGCTAAATCACACCTCTCAGTGGTGAGTTATCCCTAAGACACCTAAAAATACACCAAAGACATTTAAATTAGATTTCATCAAGCTTCAGCCTTTAAAAAAAAAAACAAAAAAAAAAATCAAAGGAGTAGAATATCTCTACTGCAATGCCCCTATAAAATAATCTTCACCCCATCCTATCCTCTTTCTTTTTAAACTGCTGAAGGCTAACTCTGCTATTCCCCTGCACCTAATAGCTCACAATTTTAATTCCAACTACAAACATTTTCAGCTTAGGTTTATGGTTGGACTTGATGACCTTCAAGGTCTTTTCCAACCTAAATGATTCTGTGATTCTGTGCTTTTCAGGAAAAGTAATTTATTTACCACCAAATGCATGTTATTATTATATGAAAAAGCTTTTGATGAAAAATCAAGTGTTCATACTTTTGGTGCAGTTCTAGGAAATCATACCAGTTCTCTTAAGCATTTTCAGCCTTTGTGCTAGCGCAGTGCACATGCACCCAAAATGAACCATTATGTTTAGGGAAATGCTGTGAGGACACTTTTGCCTTAAGTATCAGTACCCGGTTACTGGAAGCCGTTGTGTCTACACTGAAGCTGTTTTATTTTTTGCTGTACCTGTGCTAGAGCTGAAGTGCTGCAAAAAGAATTGCATCTGGTCTTTAAGACAACCCCAGAAAAACAAGTCTTCTATAAAGCTTTTGTGGTAAATTTCTCAATCTATTATCTTACAAGACATATTTGTTAGTTCTATGTTGTCTCAGCCAAGACTTTTATGTCAAACGGAGGTAAGAATCTGTACAGAAATATCAAAGTATTTTCTTTCAGTTCCTGATGCTAAAATTTCACATCTACTGATAAGTGTCATTATCTTAATTCCCAATGATAACAGCTTCTTAAACTCACCAGCTAACATGCAAGAGTATGATTAAAAAAAAGAAGAAATTCTGTTCTGCCTGAAAAACATGGTTCACAGTTCTGGGGGTTTTTTTGCTTCTTTTCCTAGCAGTTGTCCAAAGAGGATTATGAGTTTGATCTTACATTTAGCAATTCATAACAGCCTGATTTACTTTAGCTTTCAAACAACAACATTCTATGACTTGCCTATAATCCAAAAGGCAAAGGGCCAAATGCATCTGTGGTGTGACTGTTAGAACCACTAGAATAATGCAAAGCATTACTTTTACAACTCTAACAACAAAATAGATGAAAATAATTGAGCCTTTTTACTTCAAATTAGGTGTTTTTTTCTATTAAAATCTTAAATCAATTAGTGCCCTAGGAATGTTCTACATTAAAGGTTATCATGCAATATGCTATAACTAATGTTCCTAATTTGTGATTGCCATTCATTTCAGTTTCCTAAACTTTGATTAATCTGGACTTTTTGTTATTTTGTGGGCCATGACCTCTGACTTTTCTTGCAGTTGAATATCATATTACTAAGGAAGTCTGATATTCCACTTATATTTGAAAATAATAGCAGCTGATTCAAGCACAAAAGAATCCAGTCAAATATGAATCAACACTTTTTTCTTCAACAGAAATAACCACTAACTGAAAATATTTCTTCGGTCACCTTAAAATATTCCTCAAAAAGATGAGAGTGGTGCCTCTTTCTATTTCTTAACATGACAGCAACCTTGGTTGAACAGAAAAAATAAGAGCTCAGCCAACGCCCAAGGAAATGGGAAGTACCACATTTGCTCTATGGATAAGTACTCCATAATCTCTTTTGGGATTTCCACAGATTCCTTGCCAGACCTCTTCCATTTTCATAAAATGCTTTAAATATTTAGTGAAGAAAAAATGTTCCTCACAGTGAAAGGCATTTACCTGGGAGTTACAAGAACCCAACTTCGGGTTCCCTTGTGACTCTTTTCATATGAGATTTCTGTGTAATCTTCTCAGATACTAAGCATTAACAAAGACTGCTCAAACTATAGAGCACGTGGGGGAAAAGATTTCCAGCAATACCTTGTCTTGAGTAGTTCCAGTCCATGCCAAATCAGTAACCAGGGATAATTATTATTCCACAGCATTTTGGTGAGAAAACTCACTAGGAGGTTGCAGTACCTCTATTCTAAAACCTACTTAACTACAGTTTTAATTCTATTTATACAAAATAGAACCAGTAAAACAGCAAGTACTGGGAGTAATGAACACTATAATATTCAATATCATAGAAATTCAGACAATTTCTTGATTAAGAAGAGAAATAGGTGTGAATGAGCAAAGGTGTTTGTACTTTAATCTTTCCTACTTTCCAGATATTTTCTAACCACTGGGCTAACAGGAAAATGGCAGCAAAGTAATTTCTTTTTTCTCTTCTGTCCTTGTGTCCCACACCAAAAAGGGCTTTGGGCTCCCATAGCACCACACCAATCAGTCCTGAAACTGAGTTGTGATTATGTTCTATATCTAATTAAAAATTCACATCTTGCAGAAAACAATAGGTCTGATACTGAGCTATATAGGAGTCAAGAAATTCAGTATAAATCCAGTTTCAGGCCATTTAGAGTTCAAATACCTAAGCAAGTCAAGTTTCAGACTCTCAGGTCTTAGTCTGACCACAAAACATTAGCTGTTTTGTAGTAATTTTGCATTAGCTGTTTAGTAGTAAAACACTAATATAGCCAATATGATACCATTGTTGCAGTAACCAAAATAGCATACAGGATACCAACAGGCCTAAAGATCACCTTTGCCCATTTTAATGAGATGAAAAAAACTACTTGTATTGTCTACAGCAAAATTTTGCAATGAAATTATCTGGCTTTATTTACCTCATTGGTAATCCCTTTCTCCTTCCTCTGCCAGCCCAGCCTTTTCTAACACAGATGTACATCTAGGCTTAGGAGTTACAGCCTTATAGAGTACAACTGGACCATACTGGCTCTCTCCCTGAGAAAAATCTCCGCTTTTATGGACTTGTCATAGGCTCTACAAAGTTTTTATTAAACAGGACTTATGATGCATCCGGCATGTCAGCTTCCAGTGTTTCCAAGTTTCACTCTAGTCTATGCAACAGTTATTGCTTTCTTAAAGCACTAACTTCACATCGTGAAGTCTTGTGATAATGTGAGAGGCCTCATTCCTTTCATTTCTTTCTCATTTTGCATCCCACTTTATTATACAGAACAAACACATCAAAACTCAACACCAAGTTTCCCAAATGAGAAGAGAAATATGTTTAAATTAACAGTTTACATTTAAATCAAGATTCTTAATGAAATCTTGATGGCTTGGTATGGAGTTTTATTTCCTTATTCTGTTTGTTTACACTTGCAGAACTTCAGCATTTTACTAGATAGTTATTTGTTTTGCTGAGTTAAACTTTCAACTGTCTGGAGTAATGAACTGTTTTTTTTCTATTAGCATAGTTACTGATGTATGTAAGTTGGATATGTCTTCATACCATGGGTGAAAAAAGACCTTTTATAATTTTCAATGTCAAAAAAAAAAAAAAAAAAAGAGGACAGTCACA